AAGAAGGCTGGAAACCTGACTCATTGGAAGTCAATGGTTACAGGTTTTCAGCATTCTTCAAAATATCTTCTTAATGTTCCACAGAATAGAGAAACTCAAAGGTTTGGAACTACTTGAGGGAGAGTAAATAGTGACAAATATTAAATTGTTTGGGTAAACTATCCCTTTATGCTCTTAGTTGCCAAATGGCAGATAAAAAAAGAGGAATAAAAAGGGTGCTGATACATTTGGCCAGCGCATATTGAAGAAAAAAATTTAATTTCCAAGATTTTTCACCATTTTCAACTGTACACTTTAATGAAATGTGTTTTTTTTTTTTTACAATCTTGTTTATATACTATATACCAAGGGTGCCAATACTTTTGACCATGTCTGTTTGTATGTGTATGTGTATGTGTATTGTTTACTAAAATGTAATTTAGTGTATAGCAGTTAACTGTATGCAAATGATAATAATAATTAATCTTCAGGCATATTTAGATAAAGAATCATTTGATGACATAGTAAAATCACAGTGCAATTTCAAAATACTGAATGGACGAATTAAAGTGGCGCAGTAGGTAGTTCTGTCGCCTCACAGCAAGAAGGTCGCTGGGTCGCTGGTTTGAGCCTCGGCTCAGTTGGCGTTTCTGTGTGGAGTTTTCATGTTCTCCCTGCGTTCGCGTGGGTTTCCTCGGGGGCTTCGGTTTCCCCCACAGTCCAAAGACATGCGGTACAGGTGAATTGCATAGGCTAAATTGTCCGTAGTGTACGAGTGCGTGTGTGTGGATGTTTCCCAGGGATGGGTTGCAGCTGGAAGGGCATCCGTTGCGCAAAAAAAAACTTGCTGGATAAGTTGGTGGTTCATTCCGCTGTGGCGACCTCGGATTAATAAAGGGACTAAGCCGACAAGAAAATGAATGAATGAATAGAATGATTTTAAATCTTTATACTGTGCCACTTAAACCAGGTGTTATCTTTTTGGTATTATTTTTTTAATGATTTTAGAATTTAGGTTTCCTTTTTTATATCTAAAGGTCAGGATATGTTTTCGTTCATAAATATGTCTGTTATTTGAAACATTAAAGTAGACACACTACTTTTAATATTTTATATGCTTTCTAGATAAAATTGCTTAAATTTTATTTTATCCAAATGCTAAAATGGGATGGCTTGTTGCTGACTCGTCTTTAGTGGTACATTTCTGACTATTAAAATGAATTATTCATTTATTCATTTCAGCTTAGTCCCTTTATTAATCTGGGGTCGACACAGCGGAATGAACCGCCAACTTATCCAGCATGTTTTACGCAGCAGATGCCCTTCCAGCTGCAACCCATCTCTGGGAAACATCCAGACACACTCATTCACATACATATACTATGGACAATTAAGTTTATTCAGTTCACCTATACTGCATGTCTTTGGACTATGGGGGAAACCGGAGCAACCGGAGGAAACCCACGTGAACACAGGGAGAACATGCAAATTCTACACAGACCCAACCGGGGCTTGAACCGGAGACCTTCTTGCTGTGAGGTGGTTGTGCTAGCCACTGCGCCACTGTGCTGCCACTACAATTAATTAAATATATATTATTATAAAAAAATATAATTAAATCTGTAGATCCACTCTTTGCAGGCTACTTTTTCCTATAACAAAAATGTTAATTAATGGTCCATTAAGTGCACTTTAGCTTTATCAGGGTTTCTACAGGTTTCTACAAGTTAAACATACTTTTAAAGACATTTTTAAGACCATTATGAATGGAATTTCAGAGTTATAAAGGGCTAAATGCTAAGGAATTTTTCAAATGGACCAGATGGAAAAGATTTTTTTTTTGTCCCATCAAAACTAAATTATAAATTATTACATTCAATAATACAGCAATAAATGAATAATAAAAAATAAAATATTTTAAATATTTGTGTAAAAACAACCAAGCTTTACTTTTTTCCAACATAAACTTTCTTAAAAAAAAATAAAAATTAAAAACTGTTTTAAAAGTTTTAAAAACTAATAAACAATCTATGCACAACAATCTGTCCAGGTCGGTATCCTCATCGGTAAATACATGAAACACTTTTAAACACATGTTATTGTAAGAAAAATAATTAAACCGTTATGAAGTTTAGAGTTAAAAATTACCTTTTTAAATAAAAAGTTTTATTTAGATGCGTTGTTGGTAATTATATAGGTTTTGGCCAGATTGGGCAGCAATAAATGAACTGTAATAAAATACCTGTTTAAAAAAAGATTTAAAACCTCACAATATTTCAGTAAATCTAAGAGTTTTTAAGGCCTACAATTTTTTTTTGGAGATTTAAGACATTTTAAGACTTTTTAAGGACCTCACAAAAACTTTATTTTCACAACAGTACTTTTATATAATTCGTAGTCTGAAGAATTAAAATTCAATATAATTCTTCAAAATTAAGAATATTTAACAATGTAGGTATTTGACACAAAATTGTATAATACGTAACAATAATATGCACTACATTTGTATCATTTGATCCCTCTTATTTAGTATTTTCAAATAAAATCTATATCTCAAAATATATGCAGCTTATTTCTCTTTCCAGATATAAAAGAAAAGAAAGACACATCTGTTTATTATCTGTTCTGCTGTGTCTGTAAACCCAGACAAAGTTAATGACTGATAGGTAGAAGCCTAATAATTGACCTTTATCTTTCTAATGAACTGAGATTAATTATTACGTCAAGGTCGTGTCTGGGCTGGGAAAGGTGCTGAGCGCATCCCCGCACTTCCCACGAGAAAAACCATTCAGAGATCATTTCAAAGAGCAATCCTGCAGCTCAGGTGTGAATGCACGACTCTGAGCTGCTGAATAAAACTGGCTTATTGCTCAATCATACAGTTTGCGTTCTGCAGGCGATTGCGTAAAATCACTTCATTGTTATTTTATTATAGCGCGCTTATCGTGTTCTAATATTTTTTAACTGTTTATTTAATAAACTTTGATGTCAGCATGTCGTAACACTTACAAATTACTCTTCACAGCAATCTCACAAGACCTCTTTCACCAAAAACCTTTCAGTAAAGAATTCTTAAAATAACTTCTTTTCTTTCAATACTGTCAAGCATATTTGAGTATAAAGTTTTTTTTTTTTTAGCAAAATTAATAAAAAAATAAATAAAAAAAACTTTTGTCCAATTAAGAGTTCTACGGATATTAAATTGTTCACCCAAAAGTTAGCTTCTTTTTTCTTTTGTTTAAAGAAGAAGAAGAAGAAGAAGAAGAAGAAGAAGAAGAAGAAGAAGAAGAAGATATTTGAAAAAATGCTGGAAACCTGTAAACATCGGCATCCATTGTGTTTGTTTTATGGGAGTCAATGGTTACAGGTTTCTAACATTTTTCAGAATAACGTCTTTAGTGTTCAACAGAAGAAGAAAAAAAGCCATAAAAGTTTGCAAACCCTTGAGGGTAAGTAAACAGTTAGTTATATTTTAGGGTGAACTATCACATTAAAAGTTACGTATTGAACCAGAACAATTACAATGTGTTGCTCTTTGTTCGATTGCTTATATGGTTATTCTCAAAATCGCTTTACATTTATTCTCTTCATTCTTCTCATGCAAATGAACTGATATTTCGAAAGCTGTCGTTATTCCCCCCCAACAGAAAATAATAACATAATATTACAACTGCTAAATTTGCCTTTAGTGTGCTATTGGATTTACTTGCGCATTCGTATAGCCTATATATGTTTGCAACTGATAAGAAACTGAGGTGCAAACAATCAGTGTGAGAACCGCGTGGCGGCATCACACCTGCGAGCGCGACCAGTGGAAAAGGACAACCTGTCTGTCAGTGTCCTTTGTCAAGGTTGGTGTGAGTTAGCAATGAACCTGTATATATTGCACCACTTATTAAAAAAAACTGATTTTTGTTATTTCAAAATATATATTAATGTAGGCCCATTTAAATTGTATTTAATTTATTTTTTCTTCTATTATATAACACTTTACATTTTAAACATGACTTTCCACTTCTTTAAATGTTAACCTACATTTAGGCAAGTAAAATAGATGTCTTTTATAAAGATAAATTCTGTATCAAAAACTTGAATGAAGGTGAGCTATTAATTTCAAACAAAAATTGTTTTTTTAAAGACGTTTATTGCTAAATTTGCCCAATATTCAATGCAGATGTAATTTTTGTATTTGTATTTTGTAGCCCAAATAATCAAATGTGCTAATTAATTACTTTTTAAAAGTGCTATGAAAATGTGTGTTATGCAAAATGCATTGGGTTAAAATAACCCAGGAAGGTGCTATAATAACCTATTGGATTATATCTTGGGGTATTTTAACCCAACTATTTTACAGAGTAGGCTTAAATTCTCTTTATATTAGCCTACATTTTTGTACGCTGACGTTGTATGGGTAAAACATTATCGATTTTTTTCACATTAGAATAGTAGGTAAAGATCATGCTGCATGAAGGTGTTTTTTGTAAATTTTCCATAAAAACTATAGGAATATAGTAAAGTTTTTTTTAAGCTTCAGATTTCTGAATTTTAAATGGTTGTATATTTCTGCCAAATATATTTTTATAAACCATACATCAATAGAAAGCCTATTTATTCAGCTTATAAATTGTGTAAGAATCTCAATTGTAAAAATTAACCATTGCCTGCATGGTTTTTGTTCTGGAGTCACATTTGTCTATGATTATGATCAGTAGTGTGAAAGGTATCGCTTGATTAAATAAATGCGAATGTGATGAATTGATTAGAATACATTGCGACAATGCAACCAATCAGGGAGTGTTTAAGAGGAGCGAGCTGAAGCGCGAGACAGTCAAAAACTGATGTCTCCACGCGCTCCTGGCATATCGATGCGTCATGCGCGTAGAGATGAAAGCACGCACACACACAGAGAGTAATACAGTCCACAACTGTCCTAAATAATACGACAATACAGACTGGCAAGTAATCTGTCTAATTAAGTGTAAATTTGAGCGATTAAAGGTTTTTAACAGATTTGATTTCTACGCGCTCTTGATTCTGAAAGTTTGCCTTCATGGATAAGTCGAAGAACTTTCGGATAGACGCTCTGCTGTCGGAAAGCTCTCAGCAGATCGTGCGCGGCGATTCCCCGGGACTGTGCAGTGAAGGTGTTGATGTCGACATGTGCAAACGGACAGAAAACTCTCTTCCTCGCGCTTTTCAGCTCCAGACAGGGGTCATACCCAAACCGGGCATGCTAAATATTTCTCATCCAGGATTAACCTCACTTTCTCAAGGGTCTATGCCAGGAATGTATCCATCGCCAATGTACTCCATCACGGCACTGGGAGCGCAGCATCCCAGCTTCGCGTACTCTGGTTTCACGCAGCCGTATCCGGATCACCTGAAAGCGGCTGCCATGGCCGGTTCATTACCGCTGGAGCACTGGCTGCGTGCGGGACTCATAATGCCTCGCCTTGCAGACTACAGCGGTATGTGGCCCTCCTGCGAAGTTATTATTATGTTAGCCTACTGTTCATATGTGAATTAATTTATACTTTTTAAATTACATTTAGGTAGGCTATGATATAAAAAAAATATTTCCATTTAGCTGCACGTTTATAACATAATATAAAGTTATTTTAACATTACAAATAATTTAGATTTATAAACTTTTATACAATTCCAAATGTATTAGTTAAAAAACATATACATAGTTGCTCCAACTTAAACTTGGCTAAAATATGGACAAACCAAATAGTTGAACATAATTAAAATATTACATGTTGGCTATTGCAATTGTTTTGTTCAGAATTTAGCCAAATTTAAAGTATAAACAGGCCTATGTATGTAACATATTTTTAATGTTTCTGCAAAATCACAATAAAGTGAGCTCACATGCCATAAATACCCAGCATAATTGAATCGGTATTTACTGCTAACGGAACTATAATGTAAGCTTTTTTATTTTCAGTCTTTTCATAGCATCATAAATGACAGCACCATTAAAACAGCCTTCATACTAATAGAAAACTATAAAGAAACACTTAAAATGGTCCGAGCTTCATCAATAAAGTTATCTGGTAGCATTTATTGAATTTTCATTAAGTTAATGGTGCTCTCTGGTGTTTTATTATCCCGCTAAAGCAATATCTCCGAGCCTTGTCATCCACAATAAACTGAAGTAAAGATGTTATCATTATCTGTGAGGGGAGGGGGGTTAAGGAGAGGTGACTATGTTTTTGTTTGCTACGTCTGCTTGGTGTCTTCACCGTTTGTCTTTGGGTTTTTGGCACAGCTCCTTCATCATCTATCTGTCTTTTCAGGGGCACCTCAGTCTGGACTGATTGGAAAGTGCCGGAGACCACGCACAGCCTTCACCAGCCAGCAACTCCTGGAGCTGGAAAATCAGTTCAAACTCAACAAATATCTATCAAGACCCAAGCGCTTTGAAGTGGCCACATCTCTCATGCTGACTGAGACACAGGTCAGGAGAAAGCAGCACTCTCATAACAATAACTATTTGACATTAGTAACTAGTTTGTTTAAATTTGTATCTCTTTTGTCAATTTTTATATACGGTTAAAGGCAAAATGATCAGCCCTTCTGTGAATTTTAAGAGACATTTATTAACATTTTTAACCTATTTTTAAACACAATAGTTTTAATAAGTAATTTATAATAACGTTTTTATTTTATCTTTGCCAAGATGACAGTACATGATAATTATACTACTGTCCAGGTTAATTTAATGGGTTAACTACTGTGTAAAATCTTTCTCATAATTTAACAGTAAAATTCTGGCAGCAGGGTTTCCAGCAGTGAACCGTAATCCTACAGTGTCATTACCGTTTTACAAACTATGGCTTTTCTGTAGTTTAACGATGAAACACTGGCAGCAGGGTTTCCAGCAGTAAACCGTAATCCTACAGTTTCATTACCGTTTTCCAAATTACGGCTTTTCTGTAATTTAATGGTAAAATACTGGCAGCAGGGTTTCCAGCAGTGAACTGTAAACCTACAGTTTCATTACCGTTTTACAAATTATGGCTTTTCTGTAATTTAACAATAAAACACTGGCAGCAGGGTTTCCAGCAGTGAACCGTAATCCTACAGTGTCATTACCGTTTTACAAATTATGGCTTTTCTGTAATTTAACAATAAAACACTGGCAGCAGGGTTTCCAGCAGTGAACCGTAATCCTACAGTTTCATTACCGTTTTCCAAATTGTGGCGTTTCTGTAATTTAACGGTAAAATACTGGCAGCTGAGTTTCCAGCAGTGAACTGTATTCCTACAGTTTCAGTACCGTTTTCCAAATTGTGGCTTTTCTGTAATTTAATGGTAAAATACTGGCAGCAGAGATTCCAGTAGTGAACCGTAATCCTACAGTTTCATTACCGTTTTCCAAATTGTGGCGTTTCTGTAATTTAACGGTAAAATACTGGCAGCTGAGTTTCCAGCAGTAAACCGTAATCCTACAGTTTCAGTACCGTTTTCCAAATTGTGGCTTTTCTGTAATTTAATGGTAAAATACTGGCAGCAGAGATTCCAGTAGTGAACCGTAATCCTACAGTTTCATTACCGTTTTCCAAATTACGGCTTTTCTGTCATTTAAAGGTTGAATACTGCTGCAGAGTTTCCAGCCATGAACCGTAACCATACAGATTTATTACAGCTGCATTTTCTAATTACCTATTAAAAATACCTGTTATTGTTTAAATACACAAAATTGAATTTTAAGTGGCACCAAATACAGAAGTAAAAAAAGAATAAAAAGAAGTCCGTATTATAATGCACAATGTTTATTAATATGCCCAAGCAAATAATTAAATTACTGGTCATTAAAACATTGGAATATTTCCCTAAATACACCCCTGAGAAACAGGACAATCCACAGACCAAGAACATACCTGATTTATTCAATTTTCTAAATTTGGTACTGGTAAAGCCAGGAGTGAAATGTAATCTGAAGCATAAAGAGTGTACATTTATTATATGTTAAAAGAATGTAAAAGCTGCATCTTATTAATAACTCCACAAATGATCAGATAGAGATGTTAGGTATGGGTTTGAGAATTTACAGTGTAGGTAAATTAGACTAACTAGGCAAGCTAGGTTAATTATAGGCAAGTCATTGGACCACAGTGGTTAATAATATATTTAAAATATGTAAAATATCATATAAAAACTGCTATATAAATATATACTGTGAAATATTTATTTTGCTTTTAAAAACAACTGGGAAAAAAAACATATACAGTAGATAAAATATTTTACATCACTGAATATAAATTCACATGAGGGCTAATAATTTTGCATTCCTCTGTAATCTGACAGTTAGGTTTAGAGTTGGGCCTTATAAATAATACGTTTTTTTTTTTCATGTCATTATATTTCTATATGAATTACATTATGTAAATTCCCTGTTCCCCAGAAACATACGAAGAAAGCAACATATTCTCAATAGAATTTGTGTCTGTCAGATAAATTGGTAGTCAAATTACAAATATATAAAGCATTCATTTAATTTGAACAGTTGCATTCTTACATTTTCTAAATATAATGCATTTCCATACTACTAAAATGATCAGATTTTTTACAAAACCAGTACAATCAACCATTTGTTTTCTCATTAAAAATTGGTTTAGGTGAAAAAAAGAATAAGAAAATCATACAGCCAATACTTTCATGTCAATTATTATAACATTGTACATATTTTCTAGGTAAAGATTTGGTTCCAGAACCGGCGAATGAAATGGAAGCGCAGCCGTAAAGCTAAAGAGCAGGCTGCGCAACTGGAAACAGACGGGTGTAAATCCGGCAAGAGAGGAAACAAGCCCAAAGACCTGAGCCGCTGCAGTGCACATGACGAAGATGAGGATCTGGACCCAGAGGAGGAAGCCGAAGAAGATGAAGAGGAGTTCAGACGATCTATTAATGTAGGTGTGAGTCTACCTCGCCATTCAGACTTCCTGCAGCACAGCTCAGCACTGAGCTACAGCTCTCATGGCTCTTACTCTGACGACGACCTGGAAGAAATTGGAGCAGACCGAAAGATCAGGCTAGGGTTATAAGGAATCAAAGGCTACTTTAGTCTGCGTGTCCACTGGTGAATTGGACAGCAAACTACCCTTTAAAATCCAACACCTCAAGACTGAAAGCTGTTGATGGCAAATCTGACCCATTAGGGCCCGTTCACACCAAGAATGATAGCTGTACTGATATCTGTGTCTACACCTACAGTACACACAATAACATTCTCGAAGCATATGTGGATATTGACTGCCTGTTACTGTTTTATCATTCGTCTTTAATTCCAACTATATTGTTTCAACAATATTGTTGTTTTGCATCCTTATGGTTATAGTTGTGATATAGACTTTGCAAGGCCAATATTAAAATGATAGTTTACCCAAAAAGTGAAATCTCCCTCAATACCTTTATGAGTTTCGTTGTTCTGTTGAACACAAAATAATATATTTTGAAGAAAGCTTAAATCCTGAAAACATTGATTTCCATATGGGGAAAACAAATACTATGGAAGTCAATGGTTACATGTTTTAAGTTTTCGTCAACATATCCTCTTTTGTGCTCAACAGACGAAAGAAACTCATTAAGGATTGGAACAAGTGAATGGTGAGTAAATTATGACAGAATTTTCATTTTTGCATGAACTATCCCTTTAAGAAATATACCATTATCACTGTTATACTTGGTGTGAATGGGACTGTACAGCTGATTGATAAGGTCTGTTGTCTATGAATATTAACAGGACAGTTATAGTCAAAAAGTCTTAGTTCATGAAAATGGTCTTCCAGTTTATTTGCACTTAATATTTTTTGAAGGCTGCTTGTAAACGGCAAATGTACACTATTTTAAACTAACTTGTTTGTATGTGATCAGAATCTTATACATCAAGGCTGCAATCATGTTTTGAAGATCCTCTTTAACAAATGATTCCAGGATTTATTATTATTATTATTTTTTTTTTTACATTTTTATAACAAAACAGTTGTCAAATATTTAGCTACATCTTACCTCACACTATTTAACTCTGGTAAAAACTGAAATATCATGCTGGAATTTTTAAAATGTTTAATAGGGTATACTCACATGGGCTTTTAATTTCAGTCAGCCAGCCCCAGAGCTTCCGGTTAATGGGCTATATGCTTAGCTAGTGTTTTTCAGCCAATGATGAACTTCCGGAAAAAGGTTAATGTGACTATTTTCAATTTCATAAGGTCCATTTTAAAGCATCAATGTTGTAATGTCAATAAAATACATTCAGTCAAACAGACTATTTGGCTGTTAAAGCATGAAAAGAGATGAAAGAGACAATTGGTCTGATAACCACTTTATATTGTATTTCAGCCAGGCAGTGATTGTTGCAGTATTTTAAAGAAATCAGGTCTTAAACGCAGCGATTTTGTATGGGATGACAATTAACCAGAAGCCCTGGGGCTGGCTGACTAACATTAAAAGTCTGTGTGCATATACCACATTGTTATCCCATACAAAATTGCCACTATTAAGATCTGATTTCCTTAAAAAAATACAGCAATAGCTTTCTGAGATATATATATATATATATATATATATATATATATATAGTGAGATTCAGACCAACCAAGAAACACGCCATTAAATGATATTTCTCCCACCATGCCTTTAAAATATGTAAATTTATTTCACCACAGTATTTTCAATGGAATTTCTGCGCTAACCTGTGGTCTTTCGTCTCTTTTTTCGCTTGAACAACTAAGTCTATTTAACTGAATGTATTTTAATTACATTACAACATCGATGCTGTAAAAGGAACTGTATGAAACTGAAAATAGTCACAATAACCTTTCACCGGAAGTTCATCATTGGCTAAAAAACACTAGCTGTGCATGAGTGCAACAACTATTTGTGGGTTATATCGCCAGCTACTGGCCTGGCTTACGTAATGCAGAAGTTTTGACAGTGTTGTAGTCTGTATGTGAACGTTTTCAAACATGTAAAGGAAATATGTTTCGGTTTTATTGTCCTGTCAATGTACATTCAGCCATTTCCTAACTTCAAACAGCGCAGCATCAATATCAAATACTGAAAGGAAGACAGTTTGGCAGTTTTGACGCTATGCTAGCGTTGATATTGTGGTTTTTGAAAAAGAAGCTGTTGAACCAAACGAGGAGGCCTTTGCACTTCAAGTCACCGGCTGACACTTGTGCTCATTGGTCTCTTGAAGACATTTTGTTTATTAGTATGTAGACAAGAGTGGATGCTAATTAACAGAGAATTGTCCGGAGGTCTCATCGTTCTCCCTGTAACCACTGACTGAGAAACCCTGAGGAACGGGTAAATCCTCTGCAAATATTGAACAAGGGCAAACTGTGAACGGTGCATTAGTTAGTCCATTAGGCTAGTTTATGTCATGTTGTTGCTGTTGGTGTCTTTAATGTTATTTAACTGTTATAGATTATATCTAATTTATTCAACTGATATCAGGACTCCGTTTGAAGGATCGTGTGGCCTTTAAAGACTTGTACTTGATGCAAAAGGAAATAAACAATTGAAGATGAGTTTCAGCCATTCCTTCTAAACTGTCATTGAACTCTTTGCTTTGTTTATAATGAGAAAATGCTGCATATCAAACTGTTTGTGTCTGACTCATGAGTGAAAGGTTTAAAACTCTGAATGAATATCCCCCCCATCCTACATATTCATCGTCTCTCTCCTCTCCTGTTTAACCTCTAGCTGATGCAGATGGTGATTAAAGCGCGGATGAATCTACAGCGCGGGCCCTGATATTTATGGCCACAGCCTCTCAAATATGAATTACTCAAGGGGGTTTACTGATAGGCAAATAATTAAGCTAATGAAGGAGAAGGAAAATAATCTACTCCTTATGCTGATGTCACCGGGCCATTTAATTTGAAAGGATGAATTACCTCAGTGACCAAAAGAACATTTTTACAGGGGTGTGGTGTAAGGCCAACAATTAAATATTAAAGCAAGTGCTGTGTTCCCAGCCAAGCTAGAATAGGACATATTTATATGTTGATTAAATGCATTGCGGTGATGGAAATAAATACCCTGCCAGCCTAAAGGAAACTCGAGCACTCAATGAGACAAACTTTGAACATTTATCATGCATTTGGGAAATTGCACCTTGCTCGCACCTGAGTGCTAAAGACCCTATTGTTGACGTCCATGCGTTAAAGGGATATTTAATCCAAAAATAAACTATTTCCTCACCCTCGAGTGGTCAACCTCTTTGTACTCTGTGTACAATGGACATCACATGATGTCAGCCTATTTTTTTTGTAGTTTCTGAGCATTTAATCTAATTTAAACCCTGCAATTCATGAGAGTGGACGATTGTCATCCACTCAAATGGCAGTAATGCTTAGCATGTTGTAATTTGAAAACATCCACTACACTGAAAACAGCATGGCATCACTTCACTCCAGACACAGACATAAGCTATATGCACAGTGTTTTAAATCAGATTTATTAATATGTTCGCCAATATTTCATAGATTGTATGTAAAAAAGGGGGGATTGCACTTACTAATTAAAGTTTTAAGTTATTTGTAACATTGCAAGCTTTAGATCAGGAGTTTTTTTTTAAATACCTGTATGTCTGTCCATTAGGATGAATAATGGGTTCAAATCTGTTACTAAAAATTAAATCTCCAGTAATGATGATTGAACTTTTTAGCTATAAAAAACTATATTGATGTACTAATTCATTGCTGAAACATATTTCATATATAGAATATTCAGATCTTGAAACACCTGAGCATATAGCACATTGAAATATCTTAAATGTGGAGATTATGTGGAGGAAGATGAAGACAAACAAGTTATAAACAAGGTGCAATCTATAAAAAAATAACTTCAAAATTAGTAAAAATGATACAATCTTAATGTTTGTGATTTTGAAATAAATTTCAATATTATACCAGCAATTATTCATACATTAATTTTCGGCTTAGTCTCTATTAATCAGGGGTCGCCACAGCGGAACTTATCCAGCACATGTTTTAGGCAGCGGATGCTCTTGCAGCCTTAACCGGAAAAAACAATCGTATGTATGTATTTATTTATTTATTTATTTTGTATTATATGTTGGTATAATGCTTGGAAAGTACGTTACAACTGTTCTGACCTCATGTCCAAAAATATATATACTTTAAGGTTGATGAATTTTCATTATTATAATTTGATCTCATTTATAGGAGCCTCAAGAGTGAAAACAGCCTACTTTTACATTTTTTTGGAAACTTCGAACATGATTTGGGTCTTAGGGGTTTAAAATATTAATTAGATATTATATCATCTTTATTTATTACTTTATTATACTCTGTTGAACACAAAGTAATATATTCTGAACGCTAGCCTAGTAACTGACATCCGCAGTGAGAAAAATAAATGCTATGGAAGTCAATACAGGTTTACAGTTTTCTTCAAAATATCTTCCTTTGTGGTTTGGAGCAAGCGAAGTGTAAATGGTGACAGAATTTTCATTTTTGGGTGAACTATCCCTTTAAAAAAGCTCGCTTTGTGTGTGTGTAAAATGTCCCTTGACCGTTTCCGTCGATGTTGTCATGGAGCTCGAATACACAACTGAACTGAGAGGGGTAAAAGTTTCAGCATGGCGAAGCCAATTATTTGACACATTTGTTTTTGTTTTCACTTATATTTTAAATATAATTGCATTAAAACTGCTTTGGTAAGTTGTAACGTTACTTTTCAGTAGGCATTGCGTAAAAATAACGCCAGTTATTGTGACAGCTTAGAAGCAACCTGATTATTTTTTTTTTAACTATAATACTTGACATAAGTTAAGCTTATTTAAACGTATTTATGATTGATTTTAATAGAATTACAATTAGTAATACCTTGTGAACTTTATAAATATAAACAATAACAGTTCATTTGATGATTCCCCGAGCCAATTAATCACCTTTGCTGTCAGTGATTTTCTTAAGGCAGATCACTCAAGCTAATAGAAAGGTAAAGAAATGAGTGACAGGGTCATAAACTTACACCAGCCTCAGTTAACCTTAGGCAGGCATTATAACATATACTGCTTTTGCAATAAATGTAAATGTATGACTTTCAGC